AAGTTGTCGCGACGAAAATCAAACAACTCCCTCGGACGCGATTTCTCAGTTAAAAGACCAATTGCCTGAAGAACATTTAAAAATAGATGAATACGCTAGATATTTAGATTCATAATCAATCAGCAATGCAAGATGTTCAATTAACTTTCGAATAATGAAACCTTTATATACTGATGAGCAAGTTCAAGCCATAGTAAGTCGCATGCGCGAGCAAATCTTAACTTTAATTGCTGGACTTATTACCGATTTTCTAGACGGAAATTTGGATATAGATCAACTAATTGCCCTGCTTGAAAACGTTGAAGACCCTTAAAATAGAATCTACCTATTTGCGCATGCTCATATCCCTATGATTAACATCCAGTAAAATCCCTCTAGTAAAGATTAATTTCGTGCCTAATGTTATTTCCCTAGAATCCACTAGATCAGTCCTAGTTCTCAGCGTTCCTGGGGTATAGCCACAGATATATAGACTGGATTGAGCATTGCGAGATAAACAAAAGCGCGCCCGCTGTAGAAAGAGAGGTACTATATGGGAGGCTTATGTTTGTCCCTTTTTCTAGCATCTCATTGGTGATTTTCTATATGGAAAAAGACAAAATCACCAATGAGATGCTAGGAAAAAAAACAAAATAGGCCTCCTATATAGTATCTCCCTTTCTACAACGAGCGCGTGTTTGTCTATCGCCACGCTCAGTCCATTCTATATGTATGTCTATGGTATATATATATAAATATATATATATATATATATATATATATATATATATTTATTTATTTGTTTATATATAGTTTTCTCTTTTATATGTGTACAAAGAGAATAAAATGAATTATTTGTTTTTAATTCTAGACGGCTAATATTTGTAAAATTCACAATTGATGTATTATACTCTCATCAGTTACCGTTCACGCAATTCCAGATTCTTTTCGCTGTGATTCATGAGACCGCAACTAAGAGAATTTCCGCGTTGCTCCGTCAGAAATCAAGACAATATCTTGCGCTCAGAAGGTACGAAGAAAATAATAAAACATACGTCACGGATCATATCCGATATCTCACGCAAGTTCGTTCCTAGAGCACGTTATACAAAATTAATCAAATGGACGTAAACTGACACGAATCTTCTTCCGTTTTGAAGCGAAATTAATATCGTCTTACACGATATCGCGTAATCGAGAAGCGCGTAACAGCGAATATATATCAATAGTAAGTCACGTTTATTCGCCCGTGGCTGACAGGTTTCGCCGACACTATCACGGATCATGTTTCTCCGCATGTCGCGGTTGTAGGCGAAAGACGGTTGCGAAATGCAGGAAATTAGATCATCTTGAATTGATTGGTAGAGCAATCTAGTCGTTTCAGCGCCAAACAATCAAAGAAAGAGCGAAACTGCACTATAAATTCGCCAATACAAATTCTTCAATATGAACACGGTAATAATCGTTTGATATCAAAGCGTCCATGTCTACAAAAGTATCCATCTCTCGCAATTTCATATTAATCCTTAGATGCACAAGTTATGCCTTTTCTAATTTATACATTGAGAGAGACAAAGATATATCATACATTTTTATAAATTTGAAAATTTATTATATATATAATAGCTATGAGGATACAATTATTTTCATGTTAATCTAGTAAACATGACAAAATAATTGATGTGAATAAAATATGAATATCCATATTTATATAGAATAGTACTATAATGAGTATTAGTAACATTAATTATATATCTATTTATATATGATATTATATAAAATGTATTATTGTACAATATATTCAATATTGGCTGTGTCAATAATGGTTTAATTAATTATAGAATTGGATTGCATTTTGGTCTCTCTAATCGAAATATGTTAAATACATATAATATAATATTTAAACATATAATTATTTAAAATACGATTATTTCTCTCTCTCTCTCTCTCTCTCTCGGAGATATATAATTCATAAAATATCATTCCTAAGTTTTGTTCAAACAAAGATATTTCCTGTATGATAAAAAATTATTTCCGAACAATCCTATTATCCGGATCGAGCTGACTCCATACGATTTCTGCTAAGTTTTGCTACGTTATACCATCGTCGGAGATGCACGAACTAAAATTTCGAGCGAACGATATTCCCGTACGTTCGCCGAAAGCGAAAAAGCACATTAAGGCAGCCCACGTTTTTATTAGCGGTATATTGAACGCGTAGGGCAACAAAAGCGGGCAATACTATTAAGCACAGGAGCCCTGAACTTCGCAAACTCATTCCTATTGCTTTCCCAATTTCTGCTGCCCTCCGCTTCTTCACGGATTCAGGATCGAGGCGGAAAACTCTTCCACGAACGAAGGTCGTGGAAGAGCAGAAAGTACCGTTTTTTTTTTCATCCGAAATCGCGCGAAACTTTGTCCGACTTTGAATTCCTGAGCTTTTGCGTCCGTCCGCGCGAGCGAGGATAGACGTGTACAAGAATTCACCTCGCGGAGAAGGCAGCGAAGCACGTTTCCGGCGTCGATTTTTCCTGAAGTGGGATTTATAGCGCGATCCGCAATATTTCTCCATCCATTCGCAGAGACATTTTTCAACATGTTTTTCTTGTTTCAAACAAATACATACAGAACCAATCTTGCCGCAAAGAAAAATGCCGATTTGCGACGAAGTGGATTTTCTACATTTTGCAATTTTTTTAATTAAATTAAGTCGTGGATGATGCGAGAAATATGATGCCAGTTTTCGTGAAAATTGTGATAATTACGTAACGTTTCCATCATAATTATTAATTTAAAATAATAAATTAAAATAGAAAATATATAATACGTATATATGTATCTCAATCAATTATATATCAATCTCGATACTTATTTCGCATTTTATAGGACACTTAATTACAAAATGTAAAAAAAAAAAAACGACCGCGTATGAATCATACTATAATATCAATTAGATCTAATTAATGACATTTTAATAAAGCACATGCGGTAATGTGAGAATTAATGCATCCATCGAGGCGCGAAATAATACAAATAACGTTGCGATGTTAATTATCGATATACCTTGACAGCGCATATATCACGGAGAGAGATGGCCGATTAATATTTATCCGAATGACAAACGGTAGATTATCGCGTGATTTCCAGCACGGCAAGAGATAACAACAGGTATCTTGAAACGATTATAATTTATATTAGTTACAAACATCATATACAGAGACTATAAGCGTGGGAAAGTATCATGCAAAACTTCTTAGAGATGGACGTTTTAAACGACTAACATGCTTGACGTGTAACAACGCTGTCAATGATCTATGTGTATCGATAAGAATTTATGAGACCGCGGCTCTTTATCGCTTTTCTTGGGAGCAACTCGAACTCCTCAACGGTCTGAACGTATTGGAACTTTATGCCGCCTTTGAATCTTTCATGATGTAAAAAGGCGTTGTCGGACAGCGTACGAGGATAGATTGCACCTAGGTGGGTCAAGTGGATTTCGCTAGGTGTAGGTTTATCTCGTGATTCCGCGGCGCAAAGAAATTGCCAATTACAATTTTATTGATTTTTTAAAAGTCGCGTTATTCGTATGCCTTTATATTTTTTATTTGTGATATTTTATTTAAAAAAATGTTTTTTTATTTAAAAAATCACAAATTAAAGATTTCAAATATGAAATTTGATCAAATTACCGAGTATTCGATATTTCGCAGTACGTTCGCAGCGCATCATTATCCTTTTTTAATGAAGCTAAGACGGTAACTGACAGGTAGAACAGATTGAGGACTTGGATTACTTTTCGCAAGAAATTACTGAAGATATCCGGTGATGGAAATGGATTCCTTCTATCTTACTTTGATCGTGTACACGTTAACAAGAAAACGTATGAGGTGTGCTCTTCCCTCGGCACATTCTTTAAGAATTATGATCGTAATAAAATAGATATGTTCAGATATATCGAGAAATCGTGTACGGTAATCAATCTTCTTTCGTTCGTCGGGTAAATTGGATGAGAGTTCTTTTCTATAGATGATTATATACGACCTTATTTTACTTTTTTATATAGGCGGAAAGAAATATATATTGCTACACGCGCGGTATTCGCGAGATCTCGTCGTTCTTCTTCAATGAAGTAACTGTCATTTGACGGTCTGAACGTAATGCGGCTTATCATGATATCGCATGAATTTCCAACGGTACGGCCGCGATCTTGCCAATCGTTTCCAAGGAATAATATCCGAGCCGAGAGAATCACGTAGCTGCCAATGGTAATGTATAAACGAATTGACAGGCCAATTTCTGCGTGTCCTCTTATTTCTTCTCGTCGTCTTCTCACTTATCCCGGAGTACTTGTCTCGCGAGAGGATTGTCTGACGGCAAATCGTGTTCAATAATTGTACGGGCCGATATATTATTTAAAGATGTTTCGAGAGAAACTTGTCTGGCCGTCTACTTGTTCCGGATGCGCCAACGAGAATTTATTTCACGAAACAAATTTGCGACTCTACGTGATCGAGGTATCTTTCCGCAACTTTCTCGTTCGATGAAGAGAGTCGAATAAATATTCTCTTAAGCTTATTTTAGATATTATTGTGTTACGTATATTAATCTGGATCATTCATACGTATGTTATTATTTTTAGATATATTTTATCTAATTTAATAAACATGAAAATGTGCCGTTAAAGAAATCTCTTTACGACGTTATTGCGACAGCGCACGTATATGTGAAAACAAACGTAATATATTGGCAAACGTTGTGTAACAAACTTACATGGCGCTGCGAGTATCGGGTATGTCACGATTGCTCGGAAGACCGTCGGAGGCTTCCTGATTGAATTTATTCCTCGCGTATGGGTCCTCGCCTGCACGCAGACCGCCTCTCGAGACGTACCTGTTGCGCAAAAAAAAATTATCGCTGTACTATATCTTCTCGTTATTTCTTCGCGCGTTTCATGTCTCGATGTCAACCCGGAATACACGAGTTGGCGTAAGCGTATTCGTATCGGAACGGACATGCCGGGAAAAAGAACACACGCAACACGTCTATCATAACGTGATTATAACGGTGCACGCTCGAGGCCGCTATAATTGCGGGGATAACAGCGCCGACGAATGGCGCAGAGAGAATGAAATATTCCAACGTATAATGCAGCGAGCAATAATGCGCGGAAATGCCTCGGTAGATCGAGGAACTGCGCGATGCGATGCAATTTCTAGCCGGTGGAAAGTTAATGCGAGGACGGAGTTCTCGAAGATAATAGGTTCTTGTGCCGAACGCGCGAAATAATTAATACTACCAGAGATGTGCCAACTCTCCAAACTCGAGTCAAAAGTCGAGTCGCGTCGCCGACTGGATTAATATTGCATTCGCGAGAGTCTTTGAGATGCTTATGAGACGCAGCAACGGCAACGGGAAAATATGCCCGCCAAGTGGATGAAGTTCGAAGTGTATCCGCTAAGCTGATTATCGCGAGGGAGAATCGCCGACTCACCCCTGTTCGTCGAAGTAATTCCACGTCACTCTCGGATCCGGGGTCGGTGCCGGCAGGAGCTCGGATGACATTACAATGGCCGTGCCGTCCGGGTCCACGTAGCTGCCGGAATTCCCGCCGGCGGAGAGTGCCAGGGACGCGGGTTCTTTCAGCCGTAAAGCTCTGTTTTCATTCTGCTAACAGAGAGAGAAAGAGAGGAGTAAATTTTCGATTAGAACTAGATCACATCTCAATTAAACTAGACATTGAAATAATCGAAAGTATACCATTGTTTCTTTTTTGAACTTCACGATATTTAGAAGCTCCCGATAAGAGGGAATCGTAATTGCTTGGAATCGTGATATGAATTCGGTAAATTACCCCAAGTGCATCTGTCAATTTATATTAGACAATAATAAATATTTGTTGTCGTTCAATAAATTAATTTCCATTAATTTGGACGCTCTTGAGACCATACTCCTGAGACTATATAGATATGTACAGTATACGTTCCAGTAACGAAATATCGTATCTCACGCGATATACAGTTACTGTGTATCTCCGTTCCCCCGTTCAACACCACCCTGCGATCCAAGCAATTTCCCGGGATCGACAGGATGGTCTTGGTCCTTTGTAACTCGACGACTCCTGCCTCCCCGACCACTTGGCTTCGGTGCGGGAGTCAATTGTAAGGCAAAGACGGTCCGCTCTCCGTACTGACACATTATCGATACGCCGTATTGATTTCGAATCGCTGGCGAATGTTCCTTTCGTATCAATGCCGTTGCATTGTGCCTTTGCCGGCGGATACATTGCGCCGTCAATATGTAGGTCATCGAATCATGCTCATTAGATTTCTCCAGTCCTCGCGCGTCTTCGCGATACTGCGATGTTTTAGGAGATGAGAGCGGATCTTTTGGCGGGCACATGATTCCGGTGCGACTCGCCGGTTTACGTGGTTAAACTTAAAATCGCCCTTATTTGCGTGAGAGAAAAACGTAAATGTAGCGATCGGCAACGCGTAAGAGCAATCGGTCAGATTACATTTGTCGGATATGTGTGACTTAACGATGAATCGAAAGATGGCTGCGGAATATTTCAAGTTCATTAATTTTATTTTTATCAATATAATTAATTTCAGGACAGTTAAAATTAGTTTAACATAATAAAAAGAAAACAATAAATAAAGAAGAGGACTCGAGGAGCAAAAATAATGGATATCAATATTGATAATATAATATTTTAATTCAAAGTTAAAATTTAAAAAAAAAAACGACAATTTTAATGTGAATAATAAATCCTGATTTTTGTGATCTTTAATTTATTAAAATTGTCGTATTTTTTGATTTTAATTTTGAATTTAATATTACCTACACTGATATCCGTTATTTTCGCTGACCAAACCCTTTTATTCTTTATTAATAATTATTAATAATAGTACACGGAAATTAAAAATATTAATATAATATTCTCCTTCTCTCTGAATTCATACGCAGAATACTTAAATATATTGATAACGATCTGTGCAATTATATGCAATATTGTAAAAATAAAATCGCGAGATTAACGATGTAGAATTTAGCCAAGGGATTATTCTGCTTCTGGAGTATCAAACAGCGGAAGAGACACAGCAATCGATTGTCGATGGGAAAAACGGTAGTAAGCGCTCTAAAACCTACGCAAAGAGTAAATGGCGATAAGTGCATCTGCACCAGAGCCATTAATGCGTCGCATTGTACGTCGAAGCGGCCAAGCGATCGTTAGTTTCACCGCAAATTCTTCTCCGTCCCGAATCACAATCTCCCTCCTCCCACCCCCTCCGACTACGATCCGAATGGCAGTATTTTCCACGCGGAAAGCACGGATCGTTAACCTTATAGCGTCGATCTCACGCGCGAAAACGTCCGATAAAAGAACGCGAATTGAACGGAGCAGTATAAAATAGAGCGCGGGGGGCAGGAGGGGCGCGACGAAGGAAATGCGCCGTTCAAAAAGGGCGACGAGGGCACGCAGAAAGTGTGCGCAATCGTTGATGAAATATTAATTCACGGGTTACAGACTAAACTAAACCGGAAACGCAGCTCGGATAGCCAGCCCGGGGCAAGCTGTTGCATCCGGTTTCGCCGGCGGCGATGTCGCCACGTGATGCCGCGAACGTCCGCGTTGCCGCATAAAACTCGATGAAGTGCCCTCGATACGATCACAATCACCGAGGGGTCGTTGAAAACAAAAGTGCGTGGCGTGAATCAATATTTTTATTGTTTTAATCCGCATTTCTCTCTCTTCCTCCATCCTTTCGTCATGTGTAATCTATATATCGTCAATCACACGTGTTTGCGAAATTTATAAAGACAACTTTGTAACAAAGGACTTCGTAACATCGTAATCGCGCCAAATACAGATTATTAACATGTAATTTCATTTTATATCGATAGCATGTAATTACGAAATTATACCGTGTCTCAGATCGGAATTGACAATTTCACGCCCGTGACATATTGGCAATATTAGCGCGCTACCAGTAATATCGGTTTCCGGTTTCTCGTATCGGATTCCGGTGAAGGCTATCTAATAATGTCGTGTTACAGGTTTAACTGTGCATGTAACTGCGATACTGTTGAACGCAAGACGTCGCATAGAGGAATGATCCAGAATTTAACGTCTTCGGTTCAAAAGCTCTTATCCGGCAATCAGAGAAACCGCGATGTGGAATGTATCCCTTTTCACACGCACACAGCCATACAACTTCTGTAAAAGAGCAACACATACACCTAACTGTAATTCTATGATCTGTGTGTAATTATATATTGTAGTATGTGCAAAATTAAATTTATTAAATTCATTGATTAATATTCATAATTTATTTAAATAATTATAAAAGCAAGGTCATAAAAAGTTAATGATATCCCCAGAGCTTCTCTTTATGCAAGTAAAAAGAACAAGACAATACGACGATTATTCTCGCGATATTTCTTAGGAGAAATATTAGATATTTCTTAGAGAAAATATTAGGAATAGGAATAAAATATTAAATATCAGGAGGAGCAATTTGGAATTATTTTACTTCAAACAAGGAAATGGAATAGATTAATTATTTCTGATTTTTATTTTTTTATTTCATTATGCGTTAATCCATTCCGTTCCCTCGTTTGAAGTAAAATAATTCCAAATTGCTCCTTCTGATATTTTATTCCTATTTCTAATATTTTCTCTATTGTGCACAGGGCCTTATACTGTGTTTATACTATACGGATATAACGGTTGACACCGTTTGATATATCGGGAACACATATCTATTATATCAATCGTGAACTAAATCGACCGCAAATTGAGAAAAAATGTACCGTTCTCTTTCACCGAAACTGTTTTATTGTGCACAATATATTCCCGGGACAAATTTTTCTTCCGTTGGATTAACGAGCATAACCGCCATGCGCGTCGCGGAAATATCATTATTTCTTTTTGCGCGACGAAAGCGAGACACGTGATTCCCATAAAATTCATTGCATATGCGCCGATGGAATGATACGCAAAGCCGGAAGTGCCTTCTGACGAATGCATAGCATGCTCGGACAATGGTCGCGCGCAGAGATCACACGTTTGTTTGCAACAAACTCGCGGCGGAAGTACGGAAAGAGACATTGAAATGAATAATAAAAAGGATAAAAAAAAAAGAAAGAGAGAGAAAGAGAAGCAGAGCATGTCGGATCGACGGAATTCGCGGGTCGCTGATGCGCGGCGGACATGATGTAGCTTCGAATAATGATTAGACTTGATTTATGCCGTTTAACAGCATCACGTAATTGTAGTATCTATCCATCGTCAGAATGACATATAATTTAACGGTTTCTTGCTTTCCTCCGTAAATTTTCTTTCAGTGAAACAGGCTGAGCGCGCGCTGTACACTTAACATTCTCATTTTATTCGGTGAGAAAAAACTCTCCGAGGAGATTAAAAAGAATTTAAAAGCTCTCGAGGAGTAACAGAAAGACACTTGCCTCTTCGCCCGCGTTAAAAAAGTCAAGTTAAAACTTAAGTCTGTTAGCATCCAATAATGCTATTTACGCGCGTAATCGCCAAACCTCGCGGACTCCGGAATTGTTGATCGACTTGCACGTCTATTTGTGCGCGCGTGCTTTAACTTTTCGTACGAGATTAAGTATGCATTCGCCGGAGAGTACCTTGCTTCGCATTAATTTGTCATTGTCACGACACTTTCCTGACTTCATCGCGATGCGCTTGGACGTAGTTCGCCGAAGTTATATTATTTCCGAGTTAGTGATTAACGTCGATTCATCATGAAACGACACGTTCGCGCGTTTCTATCAGTTAATGATTATCGATCGCTTAAGTTTAAATTAGGAAAATCTTGAAGAATTATTTCCGCTGTGATTTTATGATGAATGAAGAATGATAGAGATAGGTATGATCGTTGAAAGATCTATCTCCCCTCCCTCTCTCTTGTTATTGTTCGCTGTCATTCTTCTGTGAGTGTAGATATTCCAAACCGATTGCAATATCACTAAGGTGATTTCGATTATTATCAACGAAAATCGCATTATTAATGCGGTTATTGCCGCGAGCATATGCACGCTGAAATGTAAGCGAGTTAGTCTTTGACGTATATATTAATATTATGATGTTCTGATATGGATACATAAATTTATGAAAACCTCATTACATCACGAATAATGAGCATTGCGTAAACACAAAGATATAGTTTATTATTTACTTATGACTAATTAATTGCAAAATGTGTGTAATAATCCAATTTACACACACACATATATATATATATATATATATATATATATATATATATATATATATTATATATATATTTTATACACATATAAAAATTAATTACACCTCGAAATTATTTCAACTCGTACAGGAGGCTTTTCAGATAGTAACAAAAATATAAATGACGAAGAAAGTGCAGTTGTAACAAACGTAGGGGCGGAATCGGTGTCACAATATGTCAGATCGGATGACGTCCAATTGCATTTCTAATTGCAACGTGCCATTCTTTCATATCTGCCGGTTGCGCATTACATTTCCACTACACATATAATATGTTAATTCCCCGCTTCTTACCATCTATTCATATCGAAAAGCCAAAGTGCTTCAAGACGGTCTTTACAGCCTATCAAAGATCAAGCAAAAGAAGATATTCCATGACGCATCTCTGCGATCA